ATTATAAAAAATTTAGAAATTCATTAAACAAACAACTAATTTATGCAAAAAATCAATATTACAAATCAAAATTCGCAGAAAACAGAAATAATACTCGTGCTACATGGCAAATTATAAATGAAGTGATTGGCAAAAAAACAAATAATATTGATGAAACTTTAATAAAAAACTTCAAAAACATAAATCTAAATGAAATTTGTAATAATTTTGCACAAAATTTTAAACAAAACGTTAAAAATATTTTACACGAATGTGAAATAAAAACTATAAAACATTCAAATATTGAAATTATGAACTATTTTTATTTACAAAATACCTATAATGAAGAAATCTTTAACATAATTAATAAACTTAATATAAAAAAAAGTGCGGGATATGATGGAATCAGGGCAATAGATCTAAAAAACAATTCGGAAATACTAACACCGGTTATAACAACTTTAATAAATGCTATTATAAATACAACAATTGTCCCAGAGACTTTAAAAATATCGTACATTCGCCCAATATATAAAAATGGGTCAAAATCAGACTACAATAACTACAGACCAATCGCCATATTACCGGTAATTGAAAAAATCATGGAAGAAATCTTATGTAGAAGAATAACCGAGTACACTAATAAACACAACATAATCAATCACAACCAATTCGGATTCCAAAAAGGAAAAAACATCAATAAGCTACTTGGAAATTTTTCACAGTTTATCAATGAACATTTAAGCAAAAATCATCACTGCCTTACTTTATTTATCGATTTTAGCAAAGCATTTGACACGCTTTGCCATAAAAAATTGTTATTAATGCTAGAGAAGATTGGTTTTAGAGGGCATAGCCAAGAACTATTTAAAAACTACCTTAACCTACGTAAATACTGCGTTAAAATCTCCGGTAACATCACCAACGAAACAAATATTGAACATGGAGTTCCGCAGGGCTCAAAACTAGGCCCAATGTTGTACATAATTTTTCAAATGAACTAATTAACACACTAAAACTAGCCAACACATTTGCATACGCAGATGACACAGCTGTTGTAGTTGCTCACAAAAACATAAATGACGCTACTATAATTCTGCAACATGAATTGGATACAGCGATACGATGGTGCCATGATTACGGCTTAATTATAAATGCATCCAAAACTAAATTAATGCATATCAAACCCCGACATTATCTGAATACCGACATTCAAATCAGATTCCACAGTATCGAATGCCTTCACAATAATAAGCTCAAAAACTTCGACTATAACCACGACTACTGCTCAACTACAATCGAAATTGTTAATACATACAAATACCTAGGAGTTATCGTTGATCAGAACTTCAAATGGAGATTTCACATAGATGAAATTCGCAAAAAACTACGTAAAGTGGCGCATATTTTACATAGGTTAAGCTACTGCTCAAGCAAACTTGTATTGAGACAAGTCTACTTTTCTCTCGCCGAATCCCAAATTCGTCATGGAATCACAGCCTGGGGCAACTCTACACATTGCTCAAAGCTTCAAAATATGCAGAACCAGCTATTAAAAATATTGAATTCAAATAATAACCAACAAAATCGCAGCCAAAACACAAACAACATCACATCAAATATATTCTACAATAACATTGCTAACGACACAAATGTCCTCAATGTTAAAAATATATTTAAAACAACTTTAGCAATCGAATTCTTCAACTCTTCAAGATTCCTTCATAAAATCAACCACAATTACAGAACCAGAAGAAACGTAGAAGGAAGATATATTGTACCACAATATAGTAATGAATACGGAAAAAGTACCCTTGCAGTCCTTATACCAACATGATTATTAGTATTATTATTATTATTATTATTATTATTATTATTATTATTATTATTATTATTATTATTATATTATTATTATTATTATTATTATTATTTATTATTATTATTATTATTTTATTATTATTATTATTATTATTATTATTATTATTATTATTATTATTATTATTATTATTATTATTATTATTGTATTATTATTATTATATATTATTATTATTATTATTATTATTATTATTATTATTATTATTATATTATTATTATTATTATTATTATTATTTTATTATTATTATTATTATTATTATTATTATTATTATTATTATTATTATTATTATTATTATTATTATTATTATTATTATTATTGTCATTGTTATTATTATTATTATTGTTATTATTATTATTATTATTTATTATTATTAGTATTATTATTATTATTATTATTATTATTATTATTATTATCATCTGAGGATTCAGAGTAGGAGCCCTCACCTATATTTAAAGGCTGAGGTAGCTTAGAGCTCTCTCCGAGTACATCGTTCTCTTTCACCCCTATATTTTTGCCAGTGGCATGCTGTACACTTGACGTAGTAGTATTTGCTCACGATTGCCGGATGACGACGACACGTTACTCGCGAGTAGATCGACTTGCCGCCGGTACTGGGTTATTTAGGCCCTGCCCGTAACTTTCATATTTTTGTTTTTATTTACCATATTTGTTTTTTCCAGTTTGAACAGTTGTTAAAATTTATAAAAATTTCATCTGGAAGTGGCAGTGGAAATGTGTGAGGTTCTAGCTGGTCATTTAGTCCAGTGTAGTAATCCCCACAAATACGTAGATTACCAGAAGCCTTTTTCACCACCACAGTGGGTGCAGCCCATTCAGAAAAATTTATTGGTGAAATGATACCCTGACGTTCACGTTTTTGAATTTCACTGTCTAGTTGATCTTTTGCTGCATACGCTACTTGCCGTTTAGGACGAAAAACAGGAACAGCTTGCGGTTTAAGTTGTAGGTGAACTTTAAAATGAGTGCAGTATCCAATTTCATTCCTAAAAACTTCTGGGTATGTTTTACGCAATTCAGATTCTGTGAGTGTGTTGTTAACTTGAAGTTGTTTACAGGATGTATACGAATCAATGGGTTGGTTCCACAATTTAAATTGTTCCATTCAGAACCGAAAAGATTTAAATCGGGAAGTGATGATACCAAAATGTTGCAAGATTGGTTTTGATTATTGATAACCACTGTACACTGAAACTGACCTATTATGTTAATTTCATTTGTAGAAGCATCTCTTGGCTTGTGCTGAGAAATTTCTAAAGTTGGTTTACCAATTTTAACCCAGTTCTTCTTTGAGATGATCGTGACATCCGAACCAGTATCATGTTGAAGAGAGAAATTTATATTGTTAATTTGTAGTGAAATGTATCGTCTATTTTTACATGCTCCTATGGTTGCATATATGCTTTTTATACGCGATTTTGAAAAATTTAATTTAATAGATGACCACTATCTGCTACCTTTCCACGCTTTTTCTCAGATGAAATCGTAATACAGATCGATTTACGCCAAATTTTTCACTAAAAAAACGAACCAATTTCAAGCATGAATTCTTATCCTATAGAGCTTTAATAATAGTTATTTTTTGATTAGATAATAATTACTACTATTATAATATTCGTATTGTATAGTTTCTTCAAGAAACTTTCATTCAAAACGCTATAAAAATCATAAATTTACTGTTATTTGATTGCGTTGCATTTTCAGCAAATATAAAATATTTCACTTTGCGTAATAGAAATTGAAATAAAATGTCGCTTATTTGGAAGCTCCGAGTTAAGAGAATAAACAGCAAAAAGAAGAGATGGATTAATTACCGTTGTCTCGAATCAGACAAAATCAAAAATCATATGACCCCGCGTTGCAATTTTTGTGCTCGCTACTGCAGTTGATTCAGTTACGGAGCACCCGGTCAACATAAAACTGGTTTAAGGATTGGATAAAATTATCAGTGTGTACGTTATTCGATGTCAATACATACCGCCAGTGTACACAGTTTGCTTTCGAAGGATTCACCTACATATATAGTGGACAACTTCAAAAAAAGAACCTACTGTTACATTTTAATTCGATAATTCTAATTTTTAAATTTTTCAATAATTTGAATCTTTTAAATCTATAAATTTCATTACTATTATTAAAAAATTATCCTAAGCCGATTTATGGTGGGTATTTTGTGGGTTACAAACATCAGCGCAAACACAACTAAAGTATTGTAGGGTATAGTCAGGGTGCACTTATAAGGTGAAGTCAATTCAACAGCTGATCACTAATTTTTTTTCTTTGAGGTAGATACAACTGTCAAAGTACTGTAAATAAATTTTATATTCATTTTAATCCGTAGTAAATTTATGCGAAATACTCAAAAATTGCACAAACTATTTGAAATCTTTTTACTAATCAATTGAGAGTACAAACATCTCACAATTGTAAATAAAATTTTTAATACTCGATTTTATCATAGATATCTTAATTTTTAACAACTTTCTATGGTAGTAGTTTGGTCACATTTCTATAAAAATCATTATATATTTCTTATACGACAATAGTAGAGACTTACACGGTATTATAAGTTCCCAATATTGATTGATAAAAAATAATATGTATATAATTTGTATTTTTGCTACTTACAATTTTGTAATCTAATACTAATTTTTTGTTATTTTAATTGATAATTTATTTACTTTTTTAATAAGTAAATAATAAATAATATTCTAACCCCCTTATTCGCAAACAACATTTTTATTTTATAAAAGGTTTATGTTCCATACAAAATACCGTTTATAAAGTAAAAATTTTGTTTGTGAATAATTTTTCAATTCAGGTATAATTTTTAATAAATTTTTTTTTATTTACTTAAGTAAAGAGATTTTTGGGCATGTGGGATTGTCTTTTTGTAAGGTGAATTAAAAAAAAACACGGTGGCAACATGTAAATCTTTTGACAGCAGTATCTACTTTTGTTGTTTTTGTAGAATTGACTTCACCTTATAAGTGCACCCTGGTCATGTACATATTTATCTTTTTGTGGTAAAAATTGTGCTTTTATTTTGTTTAATATTCAACACTGTTCACTTCTTTGTTTGAAAAAAATACAACTTTAAAATTGGGTAACCCTGATGAGTGTGAGTAAGAAATGTAATCAACAACAATTTTTGCTTTCAGTCAATTTTTAGTTGCGTTCTGTTTTCTAATAAAAATAAAGAATATCTAAAAAGTAATTTATAAATAATTGTATGTAGAAATAAAATCCAAAGTGAATTTTGACGAAAAGAAACTGACATAAACGAATAATTTTTTGTTATCAGTAAATTTTTATTTTTACAGTTTTTAGTTGTGCACACATATTGCCGAACCAACAAAACATGAATCAACAAGGAATTACTAAAAAGATACCAATTCCCAAAGATTCCATCAGAGTCGATAATTTAAATGGTAAACTATTTATTTTAAATATTTTAAAACAAAAGCCTTTAACATGATTAAAAATTATATTAAATTTATGAAATTATTTATAAATACAATGTGAACAAAATTTCTTTATGGGTATAGATAAGAGGGTAATTCCCTTTTTAGTTTCTTAAACAAAACAAATAATTTCACCTCAATTATATTATTTGAACACAGTTGTATAGCTGATTATTTTTTATTTTACATGTTGTGTTGTACTGTCAAATGATATTGAACAGCTGTTTATTTTACTCCTAGTGTTGCCAGTCTAATCATCGAAAAAGAATAAATCTTGCCGGGGTTTTCTGATAAAGATAATCTACATTCTTTTTTTAAACCTAGTTTAACCTAATTTTTGTGTTTTTCAGTAATCAGTTACGTTAATTATTATCTTTGTTTAACTGAGTGTTATTTGCCAATTAAACCTTAGTTATAAGTGAGAAAACATAATCAATTTGGAAGAAAAACTTATTTTTTTTTTAAAAAATTACAAATTTTTCAAATTGTTTTATCAATATTATTATTGTTTTAAATGTTTATTTTAATTTTTTCTAAAAGTTTTCATGTTCCAAAAGTAACATTTGCAAAAGAGAGATGTTCATTGATTATGTGTTTGACAAAAAAGTTGGCAATTTTAACAAATTAAAAAAGGGTTTTAATTCGTTACTGAAAATACAATCAATCATCGATTAAATCTCGCCTAAATTTGTTCCTATTTTAATCTAACAGAAAGTTAAGCTACGTTTAACTGAGTAGCAAGAAACTCACCCTAAGTATGCTATAATTCTTTCATTATTTTGAATGATTTATCCCCATAAAATAAACTTAGATTAATTTTTGTATTACATATTTTGATAGAATAGATGTTAATCTCAATAGAGTTTGTCACACTTGATTTTAATTCAATTTTGTTAGAATTTGATATGCATATTTTTAATTATATTTTAAATCAATATTAATTTATAAAATTCAAATATTACAGAGGTTCTTAATGACTTCGCCGAGTTGTCGAAAATATCACAAAAATTGAAAGTAAAATACACAAATTTAGAAGAAGAGCTTCGGGACCACCTTAATATAATATCGATATTAGAGAACGATAAAGCAACATTTGAAAGTCAATTAAAAGTAACCCAAAAAAAATTAAATGATACTAAATTAAATAATAATCGTCTTTTGGAAGAAAACTCAAAAATACCGATATTAAATGAAAAAATTACAAACTTAGAATGTCAATTGAAAGATATCTCAAGAACCTTCAAGAAAATACCACTAAATATACCAATCAGTTAAAAGCGGCTAATGCAGAAAAAGCTGCATTAAATGATAAACTAAAACAGATATCTACAGAGCTAAATTCAAAAAATTTAGCTTGTGCTAAATTATCTGAAGAAAATTCGAAAATTTCGAACTTAAATGCAGAGATTTCAAAACTAAAAAACAATTTCATCAAACATCTTTGGAAAATGAGTTACTTAAAGAAAAATACGAAAAACTTACAGCAGAAATGCAACATTAGTACTATTGAAACAAACGTCGCTGGAATTGGAGAACGAAATTTCAAAATGTACTCAGCTATCGTTAGAGAATGTGGAACTAAAAATAATTATGAAAAACTTACAGCTGAAAACTCAACATTAAGAGTAAAACAAGACGATATTTATAAAACAACATTGATGCTAAATCAGAATGTCAATACACTGGAACAAAAACTTAAACATGTAACATTACAGTTAGAAAAAGAAATTGCGACAGGTATTCAATTAAACGCAGAGAATCAAAAACTAAAATCTTAAGCCCAACTACAAGATCAGAATCAGGACAAATAGAGGAGAATATTCAAATCCAGCAACTTGAAGAAAAGCTTAAGCAGTTGTCTGCTGAGCTTGAAAAAGAAGTTTCTAAAAATAGCGCACTTGGAGAATATAACAAGCAGTTGGATCGACTTATAAGTGGATTAAATCAAAAGCTAAATCAGAAACTGTTTCTACAAAATCAGTGGAAAATTTGAAAAAACCACAGGATCAATTGAATGTTAACAGCAATTTTAAAGTTCTCATTAGAGATGTACCTACCGATCAAATACTCAATCCATTAGAAAAAACTATAATAGATTTGGCTTCCAAAATGTCTATATGTGTAAATCGGGATGATATAACCCAAGTACGTTTCATGGAGCGTAAAGGCTTGAGCGAGTATTCTAATAAAGTTTCATTGTTAGTTGATTTCAAGACCTCTGAAATAAAAACAAATTTTATTTCCAATCGCAGTAAATTGAAATTAAATACTTCTACTAAGCACATTCAGATAAAAGATTTTTTTGAAAATGAAGTATATTCATTATTATTTTATGCCAATGAACATCTTCAACCTAATGGATTTCATAGAATTTGGTGCAAAGACAATCAAGTGTTTGCCAAAAAAATGATTCTGATACGGAAATAGAAATTACGTCCCGAAATCAAGTCGATGTACTTGCAAAGCCAAATTGAAGAGCTTAAGTATTTGTTAAAAGTAATCAAAACGTGTTGCATTTTAGGAAAACAGTAATTAAATAAACGAACAATTTTGTTAATTAAGGACGTGTATGTATATAAATTTTTACGAATTTTTAATATATAAAATAAAAATAATTAAGTTACAAATGTCTAAATTTAACCATTTTTAAAATAAAATATCTATGTAACTATTTTACAAAATATTTTTTATCCAATCATGAGTTTTTATCTAAACATATTCTTGTGAAGCTTTAACGAAACAATAGGGGCTTTTTTTAATCACTGGATTTATTTTATTTCAAGAAAAAAAAACTATCTTTGGAAGCTGGAATTTAGTTTTGGACATCATTATCTGAAAATACACTCTGTAAGCTAATATAAGGTCAAAGAAAAATTAATTTTAGTGCAAACATGGCGGTTCTGCAGCTAAAAGAAGTAAATCTAATTTGGATTTATTAAATCCAAAAAAATAGTTAGATTTAGCTAATTTCGATATGACAATGCTTTGTATTCATAGAACAAAACCAAAATAATTTTAAAATAAACTAATTTGTATTATTTTTCTATTCACCAATAGATGGCAAATATTTTTTAAAATGTGTAAAAATAGGAAAATAAACAAAATTCCTGTAACTAAAATATTGCACACATGATTAGTGCAAATACCAATTTTTGCAAAAAATTGTTACAAATTTTATGGAAAATTTATGATTTTAATATTAAGTTTTGAAATAACTCCATCTGTTGGTCGCTGCTGACATTATAATTTGAAATTTGTTTAGCCTCGATTAAAACATTTTGCCTTATCCACCTGGCGTACAGTAACAGAACTAAAATTTAGATTTAATAAATCCAATTGTTTAAAAATGCTGCTAATTTCAAAAAACCTTGAAAAAATCTTAAAGAATTATGGGAAAATGAAACCAGATTCAGATAGAAATGGGTAATCAGTTTTTCGTAAAAACATGACTTTGTTTTAACTTTTAACGGGCTGCGGGTAGTCACCTTGAGTCTTCGGGCACGGTGCATAGGCTTAAGCATCCTAAGGATGTGAACTAAGAACTACCCTCCCGATACCTCACAGCGTCTGTCCGGCTGTGGGGTAATGACCATATTCGGTAGCCTAGCGATCACGACCTCAAATTGGTAGCGTCTGTTCCCTTAGTTAGGGCGGCTACCTAATCCCCCCTTCTTTTTTGATGTCGGTCCGGGACTGTGGTTTGGGTTACCTAGGCAACATACCTTTCAAGCGTCTGTTCCTTATGTTAAGGGCGGCTAGAAGGTACAATCTGGTTCTGTCAGTCTGAATGTTTTTGGTGGTAACAAAATCCAGGGTGCGTCTGACTCATATTGAGCGGCATCCTGGTCTGCGTCTGACTCCAGAGGAGCGGCAGTGTCTTCTTTCACACCTGTGGTAGAGGTATAAACTAACAAAACAACAACCCCCCTCCCCCAAGAAATGTCAGAATATAAAGACGTCCCTATGTCCTTGCTGCGTAAACATACCTACCACATACAGAAGTATGAGGCCATGCTAAATACTACTGTTGTGGAGGTCAGCCAGCCACGACTAAGACAGAACCAAACCAGAGCAGGCATGGGACCACATCTAAACATGTGCCCCATGCCAGCACTAGACCGAACACGGTCACCGTCTCGGAGAATCCTAACGTACAGCCATCTTCATCAAAGAAGGCCACGTCGGGACCAAAGAGGTGATGACCAATGCGGCAGGACAAAGTCTGCTAGCACAACACCCAAGGGACTGTCTGCATCTTCCTCTTCTCGAGGTACAGCGACGGTCACCAAAGGTCCAGCAAGCAGGCCTAGTATAAAGCGGCAAAGGTCAGGTGAAACGCAGGTGTCTGAGGGTATGCGGTTGAAGCCATCAACTAGCTTAACATCAGCACCTGAGCTGCAAATAGCCATTATAGACCGTTGTCATCCCGATGGGAAAATGACTACGGACAGATGGCTACTTCAGGAGGAGAAGATCTTGCGGGCACTAGTTGACGAACTCGCACGCAGTGAGGATGACTCCTTTACTGCGTTCGACGTTGCCAAATGGTCAAAGGGTGTCAAAATCATCGGATATGGTAATGAGAAAGCCCTAGGCTTTCTCAAAAACTGCATCCGTGGAGTTGGCGAACCCTGGCCCAACGCGAAGATTGAAATCGTCCCATTGGACCAAGTACCTTTTCGTACGACTGTTTTACAGCTGCTACATTTTCTTCGCGTGTTGGTGTGGCTACAATAACATCGTCCAGTGCCCCGTTTCTGTAATTCTCGCATCGAGAAAAACTGTCGAAAAATTCATGATCATCTTGTGTAAAACAGGGTGAATACATGAAATTTAAACATTTCTTATTCAATTTTAATGTGTACAGTTTAAAAATAATCAGAGTCACACTGTTAAAAACAGGAAGACTATTATATTTTAAGTTTTTTCTCGATTCGAGAAAAACACAGAAACGTCAGATAAGGAAAAACGCCTTTAATACCGGAAATAATTGATTCCATACACTGTTGAAAAGCACCAGGAGCCGATCTCACACCTGGGGCAAGCCGATTAAAAGTGTACAAGCCACGATAAGTGTTAATAACTAGTAGTTTATTTTGTTTCATCGTCGACTTCTATTTACTTGTAGGCATTATTTAAATCAATTATTGAAAACATTGAACAGTTGTTAGGTTAGGTTGATAGTAGGATGTATACTACATCAAATCTGAAGAAATACACCTAGGCCGCTATCGGGCCTGTTGTGTGCTCCAATTCAAAAAAAAAAAAATTTCACTGAATGTATTATTTTTCCATGTTCAGAAACTCAGTTTCCTGGACGTAATTCCTAAGAATCTTCCAATCGTGTTAGTTAGAATGTTATTTCCGGAATAACATCACTTCCAAGATACTTGGATCTAACTTCGACGAATGCCTGACAATGGCAAAGAAAGTGCTCCAGAGTTTCACTGTCCTCTCCACATGCTCTACATTCGTCTGAATCGCACGTCCAATTTTGTATAGATGTGCTCGTAATCCTGTGTGTCCACTGAGAATACGTACCATCATACTAACCTCAGACTTGCTCATTTTGAGAAGATTTCTCGTCTTGCTCTCATCAGGGTCACCCCATAGAATTTTGTGGTTCTACCCACCGTTTCATTATTCCAAGAGGCCTTATGGGATTCTCTCATCCATATTTTTAATTCAGCTTTTGTTGTCGAATGGTTTTGCGTTTGTCAGGTTAACTACATCGAGCTCCCTTCCCTTTAAAGCTATTACATTCGCCCTTTCGTTGCCGACTACTCCCGAGTGGCCTGGTACCCATATGATGTGAACCTTACCTCTGGGAGAGTATTCAGTTAAAGCTTTCTTACAATCCAATACGGTCTTAGATTTAATTCTATCACCTGATATCGCACAAATTGCCTTCTGGCTGTCGGTAAATATATTAAGCCCTGTGGGCGCATATTTATTCTAATCCAATTTACACATTCCGTTATTGCTCGTACTTCTGCCTGGAAGCTTGTGTTATGATTAGGTAAACGGTGGTATATTTCTGTTTCTGGGTCTTCAATATAGAACCCCAGACCCACTTTGTCCCCTAATTTAGAGCCATCCGTGTAGCAACGGATTCCTACTGGTATTTGCTCTAATGTTCCGCTTGACCAAGACATTCTATCTGGGATTAGCGTTTCAAAGTTTCCGACATATTCAGTGTCTGGTATGCGATCAGGCACGTCCGATGAATGTGTATAACCTTCCAATGTGTCCAGTATACATTGATGACGTGTCCTATAACCGTTTTTGGCCAGTTCGCCTAAAGTAAAGAGCCGTTCGGCTGTAAGCGCCGCCTCATATCTTATATATGTTTCAATGGGTGGAATATCTAGCAACGTTTCCAGAGCCTTGGTTGAAGTAGTACACATGGCACCACTTATACCCAAGCAGCATGTACGCTGAACTCCCTGTAGTAGTTTGATATTACACTTTTTGTCCAAAGCAG